CTGTGGGTGTCGGGCTCAGGCGGGGCGGAAGGCTCAAAGCGGGGGTGGGGAGTAAAGTTGGAAGCAAGTTAGTTATGCATCCAGGGTTACAAGTTAAAATAAAAGGGCCTGATTTTTGCTTTGAACACTGTCGCATGTCAGCATTTCTCCCTTCTTTCTTGGAAATCATCCAAAAATACCAAGAAGAATGAAAATCAAAAAGGCAAACTTAAATTGGGGCAAAACAGAAATACAGCTAAAACCCAAGCCCCTAAATGGGAGGAAGCGGGCGTCAGCAGTGGAAATAAGCAGACGTGTTCAGGGAGAGGCCAAGACACAGCACCGCAGGGAAAGAACTCTGCCAAAGCTGCAAGGAGCCCGACGGAACCTCTCACCAGCGAGGGACACACGCGAGAGAAACGCTGCGCCCCAGGATGTTTGCAGACAAGGGAATGGCTGCAGCAGCTAGAGCAGAAGCTCCCTGGGCCTGAATAAGGATGCATACGTGCTTCTGATTGTCTCTTTGACTCCTTGAGAGAGGACGGGAGGACATTTGCTCTTCTGGGAAAGCCCGCAACTTTCTCTTGCCAGCGGGAAGCAGTGAAGGCAAATGGGACTCCAAAACCATCTGCTCAGATTTGAAAGAAAAGAATGTGCCTGTCCATTCCACAATAGAGGCTTTTGCACGAAGCTGGATCAAATAAAACGCATCTTTAATGATGAATAATAAAGGCAATGTCACACAATTTTTTAAAACCAAAAAATTTTGTAGAAAAACAGTTTGACATTGCACAGATTAAAATTGTATCTTAACATGTTGCTGAGAAATAACTTGAGCGATCCAGCAGAATCCGTGAAGCTGGGGCATGTGCAGCGCTCAGAGACAAGCTGGGGAGCCCGGAGAGGCAGCGGGCCAGGGCCGTGACCGACGGCAAGGTGGAGGAGAGGCTCCCGGCACAGGGAGAAGGGACGCCGGAAAGGAGGGACCTGCATGAGTAAGGCTGATGTGGGGGGCAGGAAGACACAAGCAACGTAAATGCTCTGCGTTCTGGTAATGTGGAATGTACGCACTTAATAAAAATTCTTGGGAAGGGAGGAGATGGGAAAAACGCAAGAATGTTGGTTTTCTCATCATTATTAGCTGAAGATTAAAACATGCCAATGAACGATAACCTGAAGTGGTAACAGTGTGTCTAACCGTATAAAGGGAAGCACCGAGAAGAATAACGTATTGGACTAGTCAGGTGCTCGGCGTAGGAAAGTAATAGAAATGGTCAAAAGCAGAAAAGTGTAGGCATTACAGAAAGTTAAGAGTTATAAAAGCTACCACTAAACACAAAAATACAAACTTTTCTAAGTATCAGGAGATTTTCACACAAAATGGCAAACGACAAAAAGACCACAGAATGGAATGGTTATAAAAGTTAGAAAATGTAACAAAATAATACAACAGAAATATATCCAAAACATACATCAAAATATAAATGGGCTAAAGTCTCCTGTTAAAAGAAAAAAGACTTCCTGATTGGATTACAAAGCAAAATTAGAGAATGCTGGGAAATCGAGGGTGCAAGGGCTGTGCAGGTGTTGTGCCCGTGAACGCAGTTAAATGAATTTATGCCAAAGAACATTGCAGAAAACAGGCCTAGGTAGTTTTCAACAGTAAAGGTGCAGATAAATATGTGTGTCAACTAATAGAGCATCGATGTTCAAAAACAAGCAAAAATGAGGAACGATTCAATAGGAAATCATGAAGGACACCAGTAGTAGGAGAATTTACTTTACTTTTTAATCTGTGATATAGCGAGTGGGCAAAGGATACTCATAAGCAATAGAAAAAATAGATCCGTTTTATATACATATGTAAAAAACCCTTAACTCTGAAACTAAAGAACAACACTTAAAAAAAATGCTCATAGAAAACATTCGCAAAAAATTAATCATACATTAGATAATAAAGAAAACATTGTAAATTCAATAGGCAGGACAAATGTAGACAACTTTCTCAGGTCACGATGTGATGAAATTTGAAATTAAGGACAAAAACCAGAATAAGAAAACGCTCCTAACACTTGGAAATTTAAAAAACAGAGAGAGAGAGAGAGAGAGAGAGAGAGAGAGAGAGAGAGAGAGAAGAAATAGAAACAAAAACAGAACAAAAATCTCTGTCTTAAACAGTTCAAAGAAGAAATGCAATTCAGAAGTGCATAAAATTGAGACAATAACAATGAAAACATTGCCCCTCAGAGCCTGTGGGAAGCCGCTAGAACAGTGCTCAGAAGAAAAATCACAGGTTTAAATATTATTGAACGAGAAAGAATGAATATGTATAGATTAACATCTAAACAAAATAAACCTTAGTAAAGCAAAGGTGGGAATTTGTAAAGATTAAAGCAGAAGTTAATAAGAAAGTGAAAATGGTAAAAATAATCAAATACCTGTGCTTGGAAAGAAAACCAGTAAAACATATGAATTATTCGTGATCATAGTAAAAAATTAATATTAATAGAAATCATCACCATCCAAAACAAGAAGTAAGAGTAATTACCGTGGAGGTGTTGATGGGAGGGGTGTGCCGGAGTCGGGTGCCAAGAAGTCTCTGTGTTAATGTGGATGGTGGCTGAAATCCAACACTCAGTCTTGATTAAAAACTCTTAATAAAATGTGAATATGTGGATAATTTCTCAGTAGGATAAAATATATCTATTTCAGCCCAAAAGTGTTATGCTATAAATAGATTCAGTTCTAGTGAAGCCACAGAAAAAGGGTGTCCAGTATCACAACTGTCATTTAGTATATTCTGCAGATACACCAGTTCTTGAATTTAGACAAGGGAAAGAAATCAAAGGTATAAATATCGGGACGTTATCACTCTTTACAGCTTGTGATTGTATGCCGAGACAGCCGGCTTGAAACGACTGCAATCAACCAGGTAATTCAGTCAAGGGTGGGAAACAAAAGTCACATGGACACAAAAACAGCAAGATAGACAAGAGAAAAAAATACGTCAGCCCCGTGCGTCTCTCAGCCCTGTGCGTCTTCTCAGCCCCTGTCTTCAGGTTCTCAGGAGAAAATTTGTTATATTGTTGCTGATGTGTACTACCCAATTAGGGGGCACTACAGACTTTTGTTTCTTATCCTTTTCCCCTAAATGATACAGTGTAACAGCCATTTCCTGAGCATTTACACAGGTATTGTGAGCATTCTAGAGATGATTTAAAGTAGATGGGAGGATGTGGGTAGAGTGTCTGCAAATATGCCACTTTACATAAGGGACTTGAGCATCTGTGGTTTAGTATCTGCGGGGGGTTCTGGAACCAACCCTCGGATCCCAAGGATGACAGTAACCCGTTTATAACAGCAACAACAACAAAAATGCAAAAAGATAAAATACCCAAGATGGGCGAGATCTGAATGGGGAGACCTTCCACAGGCCTTTGCGAGTCAGAAAAGATGACTGGTTCACACGAGGGAACGCGCTGCGGCATCAGCCCGAGGTCACCGCCTGCGATGCGAGGTCACCACCTGCGATGCGAGGTCACCGCCTGCGATGCGAGTGCCCTAAGCTAGCCTCTGCTTGCTACTCAGCCCCAATTTGTTTAAAAACGTTGGCTGTTTTTATGGTTGAAGGGTAGGGTGGGACAGAGAGCATCCGAAAGCTGTGTAGACCGAACAGCCGAATGGACTAGGGCTCAGGAGTAGACCCGGTTACAAATAGGAACTCAGTGATAAAGGGCTGTCAATGGGGTCCCGTCGGTCCTTTTTATAACCCTGTTGGGTCATCGTCCTAAGGGCAGTCTGGCCGCTTCATGGCCTGAGCCCTTTGAGTCAGCGGTAAGGCTCCTGAGATGAGCTTGCACGTGTGTGAGCCAGCATGCCTGGGAGCCCACCCAACAAAGACCATTGTGAGCTGACCCTCACTGCAGAGGCAGGGACCGCCGGCGAGATAAGCAGCCTGCGTGGCGTCCAAAAGGCATGACGAGCCCAGACAGTCCAGGGACGAGTGACAGGGCAGCTTGGCTCCCCTGCGTCTGCGCTCCAGGCTTCTGTGGTGGAGCGTCTGGGAGGTGTGAATGGTGGCAGAGGCCGCTGGACACGGTGGCGTTGCTTCTCCTTGAAGAGTAACAGGTTCTCCACGTGACCCCATCTTGTGATGCCAAGACATGGTCATTTAGTGCTTGCTCAGTAAAGTGGGCCGTCACCTAGTGACAGGGCATGCTGTGAGGGGCGCGGTCACCTGTCAATCGGTGCACGCCGCTAGCTCAGTGAGCCGGCACCCGTGGTCAGGAGGCCAGCCGTGGAGTTCCACGCGTAACGACTTCTGTCCCTTCCCCTTTCCCTCTGTGGACTTTGCCAAGGTCGTTCTCGGAGCGTGGTCCACAGGGTGGCCGTGCTCGCTGTCCACTCCATGGCCAGATGGTTGTGTGCTGGTGCCATTTGGGACCTCAGTGATTAACATTGAGGCTCATAGACTGGAGGCCTCGGGCCCACGGATTCTCCAGTCAGGTGTCCCCAGGAGGAGCTGTGCAGGAAGAGCCCAGAGAGGCTGTCAGGAAGAAGGCGCAGTAGGCATCGGCTGTGCCCCAGGCGTAGCCTGTCATTGCGTAGAGGAATTTGATGTAAAAAGTAATACATGCCTCTTAAAGCCGATCAGAGCCCTGGTGGATTTAGAGTATGTTCTTTACAACTGCTGTGTCCCCTTCTCCTAGGCTTCTGATACTTGCCCTTAATGTGCCCCAAATGACTGTCGCTGTTGTGGAGACAGCGCTAAAAGGGGGGAAGAAGGCGTGTTTGCACGAGCTGGAACACTTCAGGCTCTGGCAGCCTCGGGACCGCCCAGGAATGAGGTGCCAGGAACACCGTCTCCCCGCCGGCTTCCCTACCCGGCAGGGACCCTGCCCCGCCCTCCCAGGGAGACCAGGTGCCGCCTTCTGGGTTTCCAGGGCTGGCGAGGGCTCCCGGAAGCCCTGTGCTGAAGGGGCTCCGGCAGCCCGAGCTGACCCCGGCCTGTTTTCTCGTAGCTGGAGATGGAGCTGAAGATGCTGCAGTCGCAGTCGGGCCCTGCTGAGCAGAGCGTCTTGCTGTCCAAGGAGGAGGTGAGCTCGCTCAGGTACGTGCCCTGCTCGCACCCCACCCCCAGCACCTCTTTCCTCTGTCACCTTCTGGGAGGAGGATGATTTCTTCTTAAGTCCCATCCCACCCACTTAGCTTCCGCTCTGCACAGAAACTTGTCTCCGCTGGTTGGGGCTTGTTCAGCGTCTTTCAGGCTGGTGTTGACAACCGGGCCACTCGGTGTCCCCAGTGCTCAGATGTCACGGTGCCGTCTGGTGGGACCTGCAAAGCCCGTGCCTTCCGCACTGTTCCAGGGGCAGCCGGGGTGTGTGCGTGGTGGCTTGTTCAAAGCCAGTTCCAGAGGGGGATTACTCACAAAGCCACAGCCAAACCAGACATGCTCCCTTCCGCCGGGTGAGCGACCTCTTCCCGCTACGTCTCAGGTAGCTGACCACCAGCCCGCGTTGCCTGTGGAGCATTGTCCGGATTTCTGCCGACCCGCCTCCCGCACGCAGCCCTTCTCGGGAGGGGAGGCGGCTCAGCGGGGCCCCTTTCCCGGAGCCTTTTTCCTTTCCTCGCCCTGGAGAGAGAGCCTCGTCCTTAAGTCAGACTTTCAGGGAGACAGAGCTGTGAGCAGCCTGCTCCCGGCTCTCCTCGGGCCCGCTGGTCAGCCCTGCCATTTCAGTTTGTAATTGGCAAGTGGTCAGTGGACAGGTTGACAGTGTCCCTCCTGAATGTCTGGGTGTCCTGGCTCCCTCGTGCTGTGCCCCACCCTCTCCTGAGGCTCTGGTTGCCAGAGGCTGAGCGGCCTGGCCCACAGCGGGTGCCCAGTGAGTGGGGTCACGGCTCTCCCGGACCCGGTCCTCACCCTCGTTCCTAAGCATGTCTCGTGTGTGGGCCTTGGCCTCATAAACAGCTGTCTTTGGGGACCCACCAGGTTCTGACTTTGCTTGTATGCTCCCCATTCACCGGTTCAGAGACCGTGCGCTGTGTGTGTCCTTGGGGCGCAGCGAGGGGATGAGATAAGGATGAGGCACAACATGTCCTCTCCATCTTTGGAATTTTGCAGCTTGAAGGGGACTTGGGGGGTGTTGCTCACGTAGTCGGGCCTGTGTGAGGACAGGCTGGGGGACAGAGGTGCCGCTCAGGCAGGGGTGCGTGGGAGCGAGCCGGGTGGGGCTGGGGACCAGGGGAGTGTGGGGAGAGGAGGCCGTGTGTGAGGATGTGCTGTGCCAGGAAAGCCCCTGGGGTCGCTGAGAGGCAGCAGGGTGCACACGAGCCGCAGGCTGCGGACCAGGCAACGGCCAGATACCGAAGGCGCCGGTAAAGACTGTGGCCTTGTTCCCAAGAGCAGTGGGAAGCCATCACAGGTGTCAGACAGAGGAGTGACGTGGCCCAGGGCGTGGAGACAGAAGAGAACCGTGGCCAGGGTGGGCCGCTGCCTCCCAGCCCAGTGCGGTGAGCATTGGCAGTGGGAACACCCCTCCGGCTGCAGTGGGCCTTCCGGGTGCAGAGGTGAATGAACACCCCTCCTGTGCCTCGATGAAGACAGCGCCTGCTCGCAGAAGGGTGGCTGGAGGGCCTCTGAGGAGGTGGCGTTGGAGCGGGTCTGATGATAAAGGGAGCGGAGCCGCAGAGCAGGGCTCAGACATGCAGACAGGCACCAGTGGGTCCCTGGCAGGGCGGCCATGGGGTGAGCCGCCCTGCAGCCCCGTGAAGTACAGGGACGGGGCTGGTGTGGACCCTGCCCCGCGTTGCTGGAGCCGCGCTGTGGCTGGTGTCTGGAGGAGGGTGGTGAGTGCCAGCTGTCCACTTAGATCCCAGCTGTCATGCGCGCCGGGGCAGGGGTAGTTGGCACCCCTTAACGGGGCCGCCGTCCCTGAGCCACCCACAGCTCTCCTCAGGACCAGTCTCGTTTGCGCCGATGTGAGCTCGGCCGGGCAAGTCCGGTTTGTGTGGACTGGCACGCATTAGACTTCGTCATTTTTATGTGTTTTGTAAAATCTGAAATAAAGCCTTTACCAATGACATCTTTACATCACAGTCAAGCTGCCCCACCCACTCACCTGGAGAACGACGCGGACGTGGCCTACGAGCAGAAATCAGGGCAGCGAGAGCTGCACGTCCACCCGCTCTCCCGGCTGCCCTGGAGCTGGAGCTGGGTCTGACTGCTCCAACTCACACCCTTCCGTCCCCGCTGACCTGCTGCTCCACTTGGGGGTCCCCTCAGCCCTGGCAGCAGGCCGAGTGACGGACGCGCCTGTCCGACCGGCTCTGGGAGAGGCCCCCCGAGCGCAGTGGCAAGCCCTGGGCCTCCCCAGGCTGGACTCCATCTGGGCCAGTGGGCAGAAATGGGGCTCCTCAGAGGAGAGCGCTCTGGGCCTGGGGTCCGGGGGGGGGGG